GACAGAGACAGACAGACACAGACAGACACAGACAGACACAGACAGACAGAGACAGACAGAGACAGACAGAGACAGACAGAGACAGACAGACACAGACAGACACAGACAGACACAGACAGACACAGACAGACATAGACAGACACAGACAGACACAGACAGACACAGACAGACACAGACAGACACAGACAGAAGACAGACACAGACAGACACAGAGAGACAGACACAGAGATGCACATAGGCATGAGAGTGATGCCATGATGAACCCAGGCTTGTGGGTCGTTTCCGGAGACCTCACCGACGAGATGTCCAGACTGCCCGATGGCAGCTGGGTGTTTAATATGGTCAGTAGCAATTCACTAGCAGCTGAAGCAAGGCTTCATCCCCCGGCACTGGCGGCAGTGGTTTCAGTCTGTGTTTTCCGAGGCTAGAGGTGACGACTTTGCTCCTTACAGCCTCCTACTGCACCTCGGTCTATGCCAACGGCCTTCGGCCTTCTTGCACTGCTTCTAAGTGGCTCACGGGAGATTCTCACAAATCCTTCGGACAGTCTTCGTCGCAAAAGCATAAGGCCTGGCATGCTGTTGTACCTCAGCGCGGCTTGCTTGCAAAGTGTCGTTGAGGTTTAGAGTGTAGCGTGTAGGGGTTCGTATCCTATGTACACTTTTGGGTTCCCAAGGTGGAGGATATGCTGAATTGGCGTCAGCTTTCCCAGCAGACCAGAAGTCCCGAGGCCTGCAGTCCGCAGCCTTGTCCGCTTGTTTGGTTAGTTGGAGACCCTGCCGTGTACGGCCACCAGGCCTTGATAGAGCACGTGGCCCGTTGTGGCAGCATGGACAGGCCCGGAAGGGCCCTGGCACGTTCTACGAGCCCAATCAGCGCGAAATATGCTGCCTTGTTGAATGTTGTGCACATTCCCTCCCTCCATGCAGCCTCTCTTGCTAACAAGTCTTGATTTATAAAAGGGAGAGGAACAGTGTTTTGCTTCAGTCAGTTCCGTGTCACAGTGCAGGTGCCATGTCTGCATTGTTTTTTGTCGTGCAGGTGGGAGTTAGCAAGGAATTTGGCAGCGCAGATCAACGAAGCACACCAAACAGGGGCTCCCTACCAGTTCGGCGACGACATGGAGAAGAAGCTCCACATGTGCCTCCTGACTTGTTCAGCATTATGGGCGGCACCTCTGTCTTTCTGACAGTCCGTCATCGGTCAGTTTTTCCGGCTTTAGCTGTCTACTCCATGCCTAGGCCAGAAGTGGTGCATCGCCCTCGGCCTGAAGACCGGCCCCAATTTTCCCAAAAGCCACGCTCACTCCATTGTCGGCAAGAACCTTGACAGTTTGAGTCGGCACTGCTCGAGCGCAGATGCGCGCATCGCTGCCCCGGCCCAACTGGTGGTCAGGCAATATGTGAATAATGGATTGCCCTTCGTACGGCGAGCTATCGCAGAGTTCATGTTGGAACAGATGGAGGCGCGAGTGGTGTCCGGCATTCCTGCCAACTTGACCCACATCTGGAACTGCATCCAGATCCTGATGCACATCTTGCGCTCACTTAACATGTGCGAGCGTGAGAAGTGCGCAGGCGTGTTAGTCAAGCTGCTGCTCCAACGTCGCATTCCACAGCAGAAAGTGTTCGAGATGCTCAAGCTGCTATGGATGGTCGATGGCAATCCCCGGCAAACATACGCGGATGCATTGTTTCATCTGCGGGAAATCAAATCTCAGAATTTGCTGGGCACATCAGAAGACGTGCAGAATCACCTGAAGGATCTTCTTCGCCATCTCTGCTACTAGTAGGGCACAGCTCCGGGGCCACGGCGCCCAATCGCGGCGTGGTGGTGAAAAGCGCCGTCGTGCCATCTATTCAATCAGGGGCGTCGTCGAAGGTGGCCTTTTCAGACGAGGATGCTGCATGAAGTGCGTGAATGTTGTTGCTTCCGCCATACTTCAGCAAGCAAAGCTGTAAAGGTCTGCATGGCTCTGGACGTGCAGCTGCAACATCTCAAACATCGCAAGCTTCGTTGAACCGCTGAGCGCATGGAACTCCTCGGATCCCCAGTGCCTTCTACTCTAGCACAATACAAACTTCAAGACAGCAAGTAGCTCCAGAAGCGTGCAGGTAATATCGCACACTGCGCCAAGAAACATCTAGCTTGAAACTTTCTAAGCCCAGAGCTCAAACCCTCTGCTGTGAAGCATCCTTTTTCTGTCGACGACACCCCTGGTTCCATAGCTGAGGATAGAGAGGCCCGGCTCTGGCTTGGACGTGGATTTTCCAATTCAGCTTGTTTATAGATCTTTTGTTTTGTCTCAGTTGTAGCACGATACCTGCCACTAGCTGGACGTATTGATCGCTTGGATCGCGCTCCTTTCCTTGCTCAGTTTCCGGTTTGAGCTAGGGAACGTGCTGTAGGCAATACTTAGAATGCTTATCCTATTTCTTATGGCCTGTGGGCAAGTTTTATTTTAGGAGTAGTAGGGAACGGGCTGTAGGCAATGCTTAGCATGAGTATCTTACTTCCCATGGCTTGTTGTGGGCAAGTTTTGTGTAGGAGCAGTAGGGACCGGGCAGTAGGCAATACTTAGCATGATTATCTTACTTCCCATGGCTTGTGGGCAAGTTTTATTTAGGAGTAGCTGGGAAGGGGCAGTAGGCAATACTTAACGTGATTATCTTACTTCTCATGGCTTGTGGGCAATTTTGTTTTAGGGGCAGCAAGTAACGGGCAGTAGGCAGTTTTTTTGCATGATTATCTTATTTCCCATGGCTCGTGGGCAAGCAACAGGGAATGGGCAGTAGGCAGTACTTAACATGATTATCTTACTTACAACTGTTTGGGCAAGTCTGCTGCGACTGCAGCGTTGTCTTTGCAAGGGTGTACGGCACTACATCAAAGTTTACTGGTAGTTCACTCATTATTTCTGATATTGGTTTGGCAGTTTAGTTGATCTTTCCCATCAGTGTTCAAGTGCTCTGGTGCTAGTCTCTCTTAGAATGTGCTTGGCCTCAGACATGGTCTTCTAGTGCATGACATCAGGGTTCTGTGTGTGACTCGTGTGTGCGATCATTTGGCTGTGTGTCTCCATGGTTGCACCATTCTATGGTGCCTGTTGTTTGCACGCTCCCTGTTGCGTGTGCTGCGACATATCATATTCTTCTCAGGCTCTGTGCAGCGTTGCGGCTGCTTTGCCAAACCATCCTGCCAGTTCATGAATGACTATTGGGTTTGCAATCCTCTCTTAGCGTCTTGCCAAGCAACCTGCATTAACCTGCATTTTTCATGTATGGTCTTAATGGCTTCGTAGAAGAACTGCTGAGGGTCGCTTGATACACTCCAGGGCCAGGGCCTGACTACTGGTCAGGCGCGGGAAGCTCGGTTTCGGCATTCTGAGGCTTATGGCTTTAGCACTGCACCCGAAGAAAGTATCAGTGTCAGAAGGAAAGCTAGTACGAGTTACCGAAACCTCGGCACATGAAGCTTTGTGCTCATGTTCCCGCGCCTGCTTGTTTAGAGCTCGCAGAAGTGGTGGTGGAGTTGGGCTGCGAGGCTAACGCCAAATTCTCGAAAAGCTGAGAGTCTGGCTTTAAGCTCGGCCGAACCGGAGCCCTAACAGCTCTCGCCATGCGTCCATCATCCGAGGGATGAGATTTCCTGCTCTCGTGGCGTGGTGGCGAAAAACGCCCCCAGTGCCATCGATAGGATGGCAGGCCAAGTTCAATCAGGGGTGTTGTCGAAGTTGGCGCAAGCTTCGTCAAGCCGCTGAGCACAGGGATTTCCTCGGATCCCCAAGACCTTCTCCTCTCGCACAGTACGAACTCCAAGACGCGTGCACGTAAGATGGTAGACTGCTCCAAGCACCATTTAGCTTGAAACTCTCACTGCCCGAAGCTCAAACCCTCTGCTGTGAAGCATCCTTTTTCGACGACACCCCTGGTTCCATAGCTGAGGATAGAGAGGCCCGGCTCTGGCTTGGACGTGGATTTTCCAATTCAGCTTGTTTATAGATCTTTTGTTTTCTCTCAGTTGTAGCACGATACCTGCCACTAGCTGGACGTGTTGATCGCTTGGATTGCGCTCCTTTCCTTGCTCAGATTTGAGCTGTCCTCTTCTCGCATCAGGCTTGTGTGTTCGATACTGTTGCTGTTAGACCACGGTGTGTCGTTTCTTCGCCCATGTCATCGCAGTGCTGTATCGGTAGCACAATGCTGCGTGAACAACTGTTTGGGCAAGTCTGCTGCGACTGCAGCGTTGTCTTTGCAAGGGTGTACGGCACTACATCAAATTTTACTGGTAGTTCACTCATTATTTCTGATATTGGTTTGGCAGTTTACTTGATCTTTCCCATCAGTGTTCAAGTGCTCTGGTGCTAGTCTCTCTTGGAATGTGTTTGGCCTCAGACATGGTTTTCTAGTGCATGACATCAGGGTTCTGTGTGTGGCTCGTGTGTGCGATCATTTGGCTGTGTGGCTCCATGGTTGCACCATTTTATGTAGCCTGTTGTTTGCAAGCTCCCTCTTGCGTGTGCTGCGACATATCATATTCTTCTCAGGCTCTGTGCAGCGTTGCGGCTGCTTTGCCAAACCATCCTGCCAGTTCATGAATGACTATTGGGTTTGCAATCCTCTCTTAGCGTCTTGCCAAGCAACCTGCATTAACCTGCATTTTTCATGTATGGTCTTAATGGCTTCGTAGAAGAACTGCTGAGGGTCGCTTGATACACTCCAGGGCCAGGGCCTGACTACTGGTCAGGCGCGGGAAGCTCGGTTTCGGCATTCTGAGGCTTATGGCTTTAGCACTGCACCGGAAGAAAGTATCCGTGTCAGAGAAGGCACTTTCTTGTGGCCGTCCGCGAGCTACTATGCGTGACGGCACATCAAGCTTTGTGCTCCATGTTCTCGCGCCTGTTTTTAAGTTAGAGCTCGCTAGTTGCACCCGGGAGAGGCAATCCGAAGTTGTGCTGAGAATAACTTCTGTGGCTGGCCCAAACTGATCTTTGCAGTTGTTGTGGCGACACTGGATGGTGCACTCGTTGTTCTAGTACCACCACAAATACCCTCGATGCTCGACTGACAGCACCATGTGCTGAAGTTTGGACTGCTTGCCTTCTCCGACGGATAGATTCGTGTCGCATTCGCGTCCTCGCTCTCCGCAAGTGGTGGTGGAGTTTGGCTCCAAGGCTAACGCCAAATTCTCGAAAAGCTGAGAGTCTGGCTTTAAGCTCGTGGTGGTGAAAACCGCCGCCGTGCCATCGATTCAATCAGGGGCGTTGTCGAAGGTGGCCTTCTCAGAGAAAGTTCAGCAAAAAGTGCGTGAATGTTGTTGTCCCGTCATACTTCACCAAGCAAAGCGGAAAAGGCCTACATCGCTCTGGGCGTGGAGCTGCAACATTTCAATCATCGCAAGCTTTGTTGGACACTTGAGCGCATGGAATGCTTCGGATCCCAACAATAGAAACTCCAAGACAGTATGTAGCTTGAGAAGCGTGCATGTCCTATTGCAGATTGCGCCAAGCACCCGTGCCGAAAGCTCAAACCCTCTATCTCAGTTTCAGAAGGATAACTGCCACTAACTGGACTTATTGATCGCTTGGATCGCGCTCCTCTCCTTGCTCAGCCTCCGACCTGAGCTATCTTCTTCGACAATGTTGCGGTGTTAAACCATGTTGTGTTGTGCCCATGTCATCGCATGGATAAATGTTGCATCCTCTTATCGCTCTTTTCCAGACTCCGCTATGTTTTTCTGCCCGGAAACTGTCGAAGTTCACATCTTGGCCTCTAGGGTGCCCCGGTTGGGACTCTCAGCCCGTTTCAGCTACAATGGAGTCCCAGCGTTAATGCACACGGACCACTGGGGCATCGCTTCCTGCAGTCCATTGCAAACTTCTTCCCTCACCCTGCACTCTTTCATGTGCATCTTATGTGAGTGAACGGTCTCAAGGCTCGTTCCTCCTGTGCCCCTTTGCCGACCTGGTGCCGGCGACTCTGGTAATTGGCCCTTGCTTACGCCCGGGGCCATGGCAGTTTCGAGCAATCCAGGGTAGCATTGCTTCCTCCGGATTACATACTGCGCTTGCAGCGGCTCGCAGGTCCACAAAGAAGATCTTCGAGAAGAGCAGCTTCGAGGCTGCGAGACGGAGACGTGCTCGTCACCTCGTCCTCGCGCTTTTCTTTTTATTTCCGGTCGAGGGTGCTTTGCAAGAGGCGGCAGCGCCGCCCCCGATGCCGGGCTCGGAGGCCTTCCTGGATGCGGAGGAGAACCCGGAGGCTCGTGGCCCATGGCTCGATGTTCTCTTGAGGCCTGAAGTGTTCTCTCCCCGCTCCACAAAAATGGGATCAAATCTTGACCTTCTTGTCACAGGCGGCTGCCGAGCAGCACTAATTATCAGGTTCTGAGGAAGAATGGGGGGAAAGCTTTGTAACGACTGTCCAACATTTGCTCGTGCCCAACGAAGTACGATTCTCCATCCACCGTTCTACTGCGTGGGTTCTCACATGTCTTTCTCGCAAGCTCCCACTCCATCGCTGCGAGACCTTGAAGTACCCCCTGGCCCGTCCACGATTCCCCGAAATGCTACTTCTTCAGAGCAGCAGGCAGGGGCAGGTGCAGGCAGCCCTGCAGCAACGGCTTTTGGTTGTTCTAAGTGCCGCAACAGAAATCGAAGCATCATAGTACGAAATCGCTTTGGACGGTGATCCAGACCGAGAGCCTGGCATGCAGATGAGACCTATGTTGCGTGTTGTGAACCGTGGAACAAGGGAGATGCTGATGCTGATGCACCGCTGAATTGGGACAGAACAAACACCGCCGCCAGGATACAGAGGGACTAGGTGGAGGTGCCTGGGGAGAGGAGGACCGGTCGGCTGTCTGTTGTGAGAGTTGAGCTATGTCGAAGACAATAAGTGTGCGAAAGGAGACGGCCCTGGACTTGGGTGCAGATATGGGTGGTGGCGACTGGGGAGGCACGGCAGGGGCGACATCTTCAATGATACTCGTGGCACCGCCTTGGCTTTGAGGAGACCTGGACCTCGGTGATCTGGGCGGCCTGCTCCCCGCGTCCGCTGAGCCACAGGAGGAGGCAGCGGGCCTTGAAGCTTTACATCTTGCGGAAACCAAACCCTCGTCGGACCGTTCCAAACAGAGCTCTGTCACGTCCTGTCGCAAGATTTTGCATCTCTTGGCGCCCCAGTCATTTGCTGAAACATCAGTAGCATCTTTGCCGAGTGGCCAGGAGCGAGGTTTGAACCTCACCCTGGCGGATAGCTGCCAGGCACAACTTGTTTGCTTTCTGGGTTTTCGATGCTACCACTACCGCTGCCTGTCGCGGCGCCAAGAAGCCAAGAGGATGCAAGAGCTTGAGGTGCTCAAAGGCCACTTGAGTCTGAGCCCAGCCAGGTCAAGTGGCTCAGGAAACGCAGACTTCCTGCGGATCTCGTGGCGGCCGGTGACTTCGAGGAGGCCATGATGCAGTGACCTATTGGGATCTCCCACCCTCCCCTGCTGCCCCGTCTCAGCTGACTTGCTGTGTGGATGCTTGAGGCGCTCGGCCTGCTGAAGCGGCGGCTGGGCTTGATGAACGCCTCATCCTCAAGTTTCGCGGATTTCCGCGGTGGAGGAGGAGTCTGTGAGATTCCAGCACATCGGAATGTCTTGGACGCACGTCGCTGGGTGTGGTAGCTTGTTTCGAAGGCAGAGCCTTTGGAGCCTATTTTCAAGCAGGCTTACTGGGCCTGGATCTCAGATTGTCAGCTCCGCCTCCGCCAAGCTCCCACTCTCCTGCACATCAGCCAGTCAACATTGACTTGAAGTCATGAAGTTGGGTTGCTTGTCATGTGGGCGATTTTGAGAAGTCCCACCCAGCACTGTCGACGACAGTAGCATCAACGGTACGGCTTAGATCAGGACCGCTGTTGTAACCGAAACTGCAGTGTCATCACCTTCGAGGCTACATGCACCTCGTTGCCCAGTCTGCCGCAAGTGGCGGACCAAGCCTGCAGACAAATGGCGTGATGGCAGACTTCGACGTTAGTCGGAGCTGGAAAGCATCGCATACACTAAAAGGCAGTTTCTGTGTTTCTTCCCTGTGTCGCTAAGATGGTGTCGATCCACTGGCCTCTGCTGTCAGAGGGTAGCATGAAGTCCAGGGAGCCCGGGCCCTGGAGGAAAAGCTCAGCTGCCATCAGAAGTGAGGCATGTCCTTCGTGATGTGCTGCAGCTCAGGATTGCTCCCATGGTGCTCTTCACCCCACAGGCACTGAAGTCTTGTTGCACGGTCCTTCGTAGATCTTCGGGTGGATGTCTTTCGAAAGGGTACGCGATGAGTCCAGCATTTCTTGCCATCGTGACAAGATCGTACACTTCCGACGATGTGGCAAGAAGCAGAGATCACGATTTTCTTTCTCATTATCCCATTTCGTGCTTATTATTGTGCGTCGGTGCACATCCGATTTGTATTGCTGCTATTGCCATTCTCTGCAGTGTGATGATGAGAGGTGATCCTGGAAAGAGTCAAGGAGGCTCACAAGATGACTTCCGCAGGAAAGTTTAACGACGCAAGCGCCTCAGAACCTGTCGGAGCACAGCCAGATGCAGCTTCGAGCCGTGCGTATGGCAAAGACAAAGCGATGCTGAATGTGTTTTGTTTTCAAATTTACTGAGAGTCTGCCGTGGGAAGTTTAGGATCCATCTTCCAAGGTAGTCGTTTTCGCGTGCCTTGAATGTAGGTATGTAGTCAAACAAGCGCACGTATGTCTGTCACCGATATGTGGTCTTCGGTCAGCAGTAGGAGTAGGAGCAGTAGCAGCAGAATTAGCAATAGCTCTGGCTGTCAGACTAGCGCTAGCACAGATGTGGAGCAGGCAGAAGCTGGCAGGAGAAGTAGCAGCAGCAGTAGCAGTAGCAATAGAAGTTGAAATAGAAGTAGAAGTAGAAGGTGCAGTACTAGGAGGGGGAGGAGGAGTAACAAGTAGTAGTGGCAGCAGCAGAAGAAGAGGAAGAAGAAAGGCGCCAACACGAACGCCAGACAGCAGGCATCTACAGGCACATGCATAATTCACGCATCTATGTTCATGCAAGAGAGCTAGGAGAGATAAGGAGCATTTTCAGTGCAGAGCGTCTAAGACGTTAGCGATGCGACCGAGGCCCTTGCAGCCTTCCGAAGTGCTCTCCAGTCCATCCCGATCTCCGTGGTGCCTTTGCAAAAGTCATACGGGTGCTGCTGTCTAAATTTTAAATTGTATACTAGCATGTCGTGGCAACTGTGCAAAGGCTTTCATCAGATCCTTGAGCACTCAGGCCAACGATGCCAACGAAGAGCGGCAGCTCACAGACATGCCTCCAGCTCAGGGGCGTAACATGGCAGCTAACTGCGATGCAGGGATGGCTCCAGGAGCAACTAATGTGTTCTTCTCTCTCGTTAGACTGATGTTCCGACGCCAAGGATTGAGATGTGCAGAGAGTATGTGACCTTCGCGAGACTACAGGCCTGTCCGCTCAAGTTGCGATTTTCCGCCGTGGGGCTCAGCAAAGTAGCCTTGAGGTGACTAGCAAGAAGCTGACTCCAGACAAGGTGGGCCGAAACCTCCTCTTCTCACAGAGTCCAGCAAAGCTTAAAGACAAGTGCGCAATTTTGTTGCTGTAGGCTGCGAGAGCCATCGAGCTCAACGCCTACCTCACTTGCTGCAATGCTGGCATGCTTGAACATTTCTCCACATTGAGGCCCAACAGATTTGGTGCCCTGGTGCACAGGCAAGCTACAGCAGTTCCACCAGTTCTTGACGCTAAAGACAGCCATGGGCATCGCATTCAAGGCCTGCCTTTCCTGCAGATGTGAAGTGATGAAGAAGACAACGTGGACACCAGATCCCGACCCTGACATCCTGATCGGAACCCACTCTGCCAGAACGAGAACTACGTGACTGCAGCGTCCTTTGCAAAGAGGATGATCCAGGCGAAGCGCTCAGCGGACTATTGTCCGCTCGATCTGCAAGTGCCCACAGGCAAGCAAGCAAGCAAGCAAGCAAGCAAGTAAGCAAGCACCGTGTTGCTCAAGATGTTAAAGCCAAACTCGCCTGCCTGCTCTTGAAGTTGTCTGATGCCTTCGGAAGCTTTCCTGCAATACCTGGTGCCGGCTGACATGCTGCAAGCTGAGGGTAATTTTGGCCCTGCCGACAAGCACAAAGACGCGGGAAGCTCAGATTGGTTTTCCCAGCCTCGAAGTGTCTGTGCCTCACAAGATCCTCGCCTCCATTCCAGGACGTGCAGAAAGCCAGACAAGTGCTCCAAATCTGTGAGCAGAAGGCCGGGGCGCAACTGAGCCCGAGGTGCCTCCTCCACAGGTGTCCACAGGTTTTGACAGGACACGACATGGACTTTGAAGCATCTGCATTTGTGCCTTTGGGCGCGCCTCGGGCTCGAAGCTGGTCCCCTGCCTGGCGGCGGCCTGCTGTTCCCGTCGACTGTTGTGGCGGCATTGACTGCCCGCTGCTGAGAAGGTACTGTAGGTGACCAGGTAGCTGCTTGCTAAAGAATCACAACTCAAAGAGTAGCTAGGGAGAACGTAGTACCATGTTTCCGAAGTTCCCGTCTTACACTTCTGCAATTATGCCTAGCACATGGTGGTTTTCTGGAGGGGCACAATGCAAGGGAAATGAAATATAAGGATCAAGAAGCAGGGTTCAAACGTTGGCTGCTGTAGAAGTAAACGTAACTGGACATGCAGAAGAAAGTAGGCAAGGAGAGGGGAAGAACGAAAGAAAGAAAGCGAGAGAAATAAACAAAGAAGCACCCGACAGGCCTCCTGCCCTCGTCCTGCTCCTCACTACCACGACCACTACTACCACTA